AGGAGTGGGAATAACTGGGATGTAGGAGAGGAGAGGGAATAACTGGGATGTGGGAAAGGAGAGGGAATAACTGGGATGTGGGAGAGGCTTGGGAATAACTGGCATGCGGGAGAGGCTCAGGGAGAGCTGGGATTTTGAGGGAAAGGCTCAGGAAGAACCGGGATTTTATGGGAAAGGCTCAGGGAGAGCTGGGATTTTGAGGGAAAGGCTTGGGAAGAACCGGGATTTTGCAGGAAAGGCCCAGGAAGAGCCAGAATTTTTCAGGAAAGGCTTGGGAAGAGCCAGGATATCAGGAAAGGCCCGGGAAGAGCAGGGAATTTTAGGGAAAGGCTCGGGAAGAGACAGGATGTGGGAGAGGCTTGGGAATAATTGGGATGTGGGAAAGGCTTGGGAAGAGCCGGAATTTCTTGGGAAAGGCCCAGGAAGAGCCGGGATTTTTCGGGAAGGGCTCGCGTAGACGCCCGGGAAGAGCCGGGATTGCAGGAAAGGTTTGGGAAGGAAAGGTTTGGGAAGAGGTGAGATATTTTTTGGGGGGGAAAGGCCCGGGAAGAGGCGGGATTTTTTGGGAAGAGCTGGGATTTTTTGGGAAGAGCCTGTCGGGGGCGCTCACCGGCGGTGACGCTGCCCAGCAGCTTCTTGCAGACGTTGAACTGCAGCGAGCCCAGGTACCGGGGCACGTTCAGCAGCAACCCCCAGGGAACGGCCTCGGGCTCCTCCACCGTGCACGCCATCCTGGGCACCCCAAAAACACCCCGGGGGGGCTCAGCCATCCCAAAAACCCCCCAGGGAAGCTCAGACACCCCAAAAACACCCCAAGGGAGCTCAGCCATCCCAAAACCCCCCCAGGGGAGATCAGCCATCCCAAAAACCCCCCAGGGGGGCTCAGCCATCCCAAAAACCCCCTCCAGGGGAGGGCTCCATCCCCGGAATTCCCGTCGGGAGCGGCACCCACCTGCGCTTGCGGCTCCTGTGGCTCTGGAAGGGAAGAGGGAAGATGTTGGGAATCAGATCCCGCCCATCCCAAGGGATTCCAGAGCCTGGGGCGGCATCCTGGGAAAGGCCTTTCCCATCGGGAATGTGTGGGATGGGATCCTGGGAAAGGCTTTCCCATCAGGAATGTGTGGGATGGGATCCTGGGAAAGGCTCTCCCATGGGGAAGGTGTGGGATGGATGGGATGGGATCCTGGAAAAGGCTTTTCCATTGGGAACGTGTGGGATGGATGGGATGGGATCCCAGGAAAGGCATTGGCATTCCCATGGGGAATGTGTAGGATGGATGGGATGAGATCCCAGGAAAGGCATTCCCATGGGGAAGGTGTGGGATGGATGGGATGTGATCCTGGAAAAGGCTTTCCCATTGGGAACGTGTGGGATGGGATCCTGGGAAAGGTTTTCCCATCAGGAATGTGTGGGATGGATGGGATGGGATCCCAGGAAAGGCATTCCCATCAGGAATGTGTGGGATCAGTGGGATCCTGGGAAAGGCTTTTCCATCAGGAATGTGTGGGGTTCTAGGATGTCATCCCAGGAAAGTCTTTCCCATGAGGAATGTGTGGGATCAGTGGGATGTGATCCCAGGAAAGGCCTTCCCATCAGGAATGTGTGGGATGGGATCCTGGGAAAGGCTCTCCCATTGGGAATGTGTGGGAAAGGTTTTCTCATGAGGAATGTGTGGGATCAGTGGGATGGATGGGATGGGATCCCAGGAAAGGCTTTCCCATGAGGAAGGAGTGGGATCAGTGGGATGGGTGGGAAGGTTGGGATCAGTGGGATGGATGGGATGGATGGGATCCGTGGGATCAATGGGAAGGATGGGATCAGTGGGATGGATGGGATCAGTGGGATGGATGGGATCAGTGGGATCAATGGGATGGATGGGATCAGCGGGATCAGTGGGATGGATGGGATGTTATCCCAGGAATCCCTGACCTTGAGGAAGGTGTGATCATCCAGCAGCAGCTCCTGCTGCAGCATCCCGGCCTCGGCCAGCAGGGCGTGGCTCTCCCACTCCAGGCGCTCCAGCTTTCCCTGGATCAGCTCCTGCTTCCCCTGCGCCTCCTCCTGCAGCTGAGCCAGCAGTGCCTTCTCCTCATCCCACAGGAACTCGTGGAGCTTCCGGAATTCCTGCTTCACCTGCCGCTCCAGCCGCTCCAGCTCCGACTGCGCACATGGAGGGAACGGGTGGGAAAGGGACCGGGAATGGGAATGGTTCTCCTGGATCCACGTCTGTCCTTCCTTCCCTTGGCATCCCATCCCAAATCCATGTCCATCCTTCCTTCCCTTGGCATCCCATCCTGGATCCATGTCCATCCTTCCTTCCCTTGGCATCCCATCCCAAATCCATGT